GGGGAGGGGGAAGGAGGGAGAGTGGAAGGGTTAGGTGGAGCAGAAGATGGCGGCGGAGTGAGCCGTGGGAGCTTGCGGGCGGACGGGGAGGAAGATGGCAGTGGAGTGAGCTGCTGTGGGGGTTCGGAGAGCCAAGTTAAAATCGTCAGGATTGAAAGATGATGGAGGCAGCGAGGATAGAGGGGGTTTGGAAGCAAGGAGAACTTGAGATGGGGAACAGGTGAGACAGAGAGGGATTTTGGGCAAGTAGGCGGAAAGCTTCAACGTAAGAGATCTCCTCCCATTTTCTCTGGCGCTGGCAGAGGTTGAATAAATCTCGAAGAATATTAGGGTTTAGTGTGCCTTCCGGTGGCCATCTGTTTTGATTATCTAATTGGTATTGAGGCCAATCTTGTGTGCAAAATTTTATAAGGAGTTTGGGCTTGATGTCGGGTTTTAAAGACAAGGTGTTGAGGTTTTTTATAAGACATTGAAGGGGGAATCTGCCACAGGTGACGAGGGGGAAGCTCCCATGTTAAAGCAGGAAGGAGAGTGAAAGACAAGGAGGTGGAGAAGGGAGAAATTCCTTCGGCCGGAGGGAGGGAAAGACACAAATATAGAGGGCGTCCCCACTATATTCTGTCAGTCCGGGAGGTTTGGAGATGAACCGGGAGGGAGGAAGGTATAAGTCATCACTTAACCTTCCATCACCTCAGCAAGGGCGAGTGCCTGGAGGCTTGAAGGAACCCTGCGCCGGGATTTTCGGGAGCCCTGGGCTTGGAGAAACAGAAACAGTAAATTGAAAGAGAAAGCGAGAGAATGGGAGCTTTGCCCTGCAAGGATTGCCTTTAACTTTGGGTTGGGAGAGGAGTAGAATGTGGATGGTTTGGTGTGACGAGGGAGTATTTAGGGGTCCACTGAGGCCCTGAAGGCCATAGTGGGGCGTACTGCCCCTGTTAGGGCTGGACGCCGGATGGGTAGTCCTAGTTTAAAATGGCACCTCTAAAGGGAGACTTACATTTGGATGAGCCGGTGGTGGGTGCGGAAAGCCAGCACCGGAGAAAATGGACGAGGGCGAAGCGTCAGCAGCGGGAACCACCGAGAGAGTGAAGGAGGTCTGAGAAGGAGTCCCCTCGGGTAAGGGGTGAGCTCCTCCCGGGTTTTGGCACCAATGAAAGAATGACAGGACCCGAGCTGACAGTTCATCGGAGAAGTTCTGCTTTATTCGGGGGAGAAGCATACATTTATATAGAGCTGGGTTCCGGGAGAGGGTGGTTAGTACACGGGGCGGTAGTTGATTGGCTGGGGGCGGGTAATGATTTCTAATAGGCTGCACCTTGGCGCCGGCGAGATTGTTAGGACCCGGAAGAGAAAAGCGCCATGTTTTAGGGAGTGCCTCCTTTGGGGTCTTCTATGGGGCCTTACACCCCCCATGCCTTTTAATAACTTCATAGCTCATTTCTTTTTAGTGCAAAATAATGCTTTATTGTCTGGACGTGCCACAGTTTATCCATTCACCTACTGGAGGAAAGCTTGGTTGCTTCCAACTTTTGGCAATTATGAATAAAGCTGTTGTAACGTGCAGGTTTTTGAGTGGACGTAACTTTTCAACTCCTTTGAGTAAATACCAAGGAGCACAATTCAGTTGCTGGATCATTTGGTAAGAGTATATTTAATTTTATAAGAAATCACCACACTGACTTCCAAAGTGATTGTATCATTTCGTATTCCCCCCAGCAATGAATGATAGTTCATATTGCTCCACATCCTCACCATCCTCACCACTGACAACGTGTTCTGGATTTTGGTTGTTCTAATAGCTGTGTAGTGTTGTTTCATTTGAATTTGCATTTTCCTGATGACATATGATGTAAAGCATCTTTTCATATGCTTATTTGCCATCTGTTTATCTTCTTTGGTGTGGTATATCTCAAGGTCTTTAGCCCATTTTTTTATTGGGTTTTCTTATCATTGAGTTTTAAGAGTTCCTTGCATATTTTAGATAACAGTCCTTTATCAGGTATGTCTTTTGCAAGTATTTACAAGGCTGGAGCCTTGTAAAGAATTGAAGTCCACCTTATCAATTCTTTGTTTCATGAATAATGTTTTTAGTGTTGTATCTGAAAAGTCATTGCCAAACACAAGGACATTTAGATTTTGTTTTGTTATCTTCTAGGTCTTTTCTAGTTTTGTGTTTCACATTTAGGTCTGTGATCCATTTTGGATTAATTTTTGTGAAGGGTATAAGGTCTGTGTCTAGATTCATTTTTTTTTTTTTTTGCATGTGGATGTCCACTTGTTCCATACCATTTGTGGAAAAGACTGTCTTCTCTCCATTGTATTGCTTTTGTTCTTTTGTCAAAGATCAGTTGACTGTATTTATGTAGATTTGTTTTTGTGTTCTGTTCTGTTGGTCTATTTGAACATGATTTCTGGAGGGAATATTGTTTTAACCTAGTACACAGGTGGTCACTTTAGATTGGATGCTGACAGAAAGCAGGGGCAATTCTATTACTAAGTATTTTGTGGTGGCATCGTGCCTTTGTTTTGTCTGTCCTTAGACAAAATTATGAAGTAACCTTGTTTTGTTTCATTTTATTATGGTCTCAGAGTAACTTTGTCCAAAGTTGGTGTTTTGTAAGATTATTTATGTTCAACTGGAGAACAAAATATCCTGGCTGTGAGTATAAGACTATGTTGTAATAATATTGAAGTTTAGGTATGAACGTCAGATCAGATCAGTTCTGGATGTCAGATGCTGCTCCCCATCCTCGTCTTCCCTGGCCACTTTTTAAAAAATGAATTTCACAAACATTTTGTTGCAGTTAAACTCACACTTGTCCATCTTTAGAGTATCAGAAAACCAAAGTTTTAGCCCTGTCTGGAAGAAATGTTTGTGGTTCTTCATACTTGTCTCTCACAATATGCCTTTCTGCATGTCAGGGTACCCTCTAGATACATCCCATGTGATCTTCCAGTGGGAACAAGAGGAGGACCTGGAAACAGTGGAGAGAAGACTTACTCAGGGCATCTGTATGGGGGAGCACCAGGAAGGCAAGAATCTTTGGGAGAAACTGTCCTGGTTGTGGGATATTATACTTGAAAACATCAAATAAAAACAAGATATTGTTTTGTCTGAGGAGGCTGATCTTCCACAGATGCTGTAGATTGCTATATTGACTTTATTAATCCTCTCATATTTTTCTTTGTTCTTGGTGCAAAGACCTTCTATATTTCCCATTTGTAAGTTAGTGTTTGGTCATTTGCATTTTATCCCGTTTCTTTCTGTTTTGCTCTCCTAATAATATTCTATGTATGTTACCATCAGTCTCAATCTTCACCAAATTATTTCTTAGTTAATTGCTTTCCATTTGACCCTTGTGCCTGTTAATACCAAAGTTCTGAAATAGCCGCACTGCTGAAAGTCCTTTGCTCACAAGTGCCTTGACTTTTTTGTTTCAGGTTTTGAGATTCAACTCAAAACTAATGAATCAGTTGCTCTGCAAGACGTTTATGGAGAAAGTATATCCAATGAACAGAAAATAGTAAGATTCAAAAGGAATGATTCCTGGTCCTCTATTTTATGGGAAAACTGGGAATACCGTAGTGTTGAACATCAGAACAAAATCGATGAGAGACATTTGAGGTGAGTGCCTTTCACATAACAGAAAGTAGTGCCTCAGTAGGGAATCTTAAGATGTCAAGGAACTTAACAAACATATATATATATATATATATATATATATATATATATACACTTAAGTCAAAATTGTGATTTCACAAAGAATTTTCATGAAATATTTTTTCCACAAATGGGACTGAGATGTTGAATGTTTGACACTTAATTCAATTATAAACAATTATTAGAAAAAATCCCATAAGTCAAAAACTCGGTGTATTAGTCAGTTTATGTTGCTTATAACAAAATACCTGAAACTGGGTGATTTAAAAAGAAAATGAAATTTATTGCTTACAGTTTCTGAGGCTTGGAAGTCCAAAGTCCATCTGGTGGTGGCGACAGTGACCCAGGGGTCTCACATTGTAAGATGGTGGAAGCAGAAAGAGCAGAGAGAGAGAGAAAGACAGACTCTCCTCTTCTTTTAAAGCCCTCAGAATCATGCCCCTGACCACCATTTTTAATCTATTCACTACTACACGGTCGTACAACCCAATTACCTCTTTAAGGCCCCACCTTACAATTACCATAATAGGATTTCCCACCCTCTTTACAGTCACAGTAGGGGCTAAATTCCTAATACATAAAACTTGGGAGACACAATTCAAGCATCAATGAGTTTTGGGGGGACATAATTCAATCCACTATACTTGGTGATGGTATCGCCTATGGTAGAACCCTATGAGAACTTTCGGCTTGTAACTTGACAGGGTAGAAGACATACATATTCACTGAAAATGGTAAAAATTTTTTGCTAATAATATGCCTTTTATTTTTAAAAGAAGTCATATGCTGGAGAATGTGTATGAATGTAATGAAGAAAATCAACGTGGACAAACCTTTAGCCAAATTTCAAAGGTTAATATCCTTGAGAGAACTACTGAAGTAAAATCCTATGAATGCCATGACTGTGGAAAGGCCTTCATGGATCATTCATCCCTTAAGAATCACATCAAGTCTCATACTGGAAGCAAACCCTATCAGTGTAAAGAATGTGGGAAGGCCTTTTATTTTCTTGCTTGTTTTAAGAAGCATTTGAAGACTCCCACTGAAGAGAAACCCTATGAATGTAAGGAATGTGCCAAAGCCTTCAGTTGTTCCTCATTCTTTAGGGCACATATGAAGATTCACATTGGAAGGACAAACTATGAATGTAAAGAATGTGGGAAAACTTTCAGTTGTTCTTCATCTCTCACAGAGCACAAAAGAATTCATAGTGGAGATAAGCCTTATGAATGTAAGGAATGTGGGAAGGCCTTTAGTTGTTCCTCCTCACTGTCCAAACACAAAAGAATTCATAGTGGAGATAAGCCTTATGAATGTAAGGAATGTGGAAAAGCCTTTAGTTCTTCCTCTCACCTTATAATACACATGAGAATTCACACTGGAGAGAAGCCTTATGAATGTAAAGAGTGTGGGAAGGCCTTCAGTGAGTCCTCAAAACTCACTGTACATGTGAGAACACATACTGGAGAGAAACCCTATAAATGTAAGGAATGTGGGAAAGCCTATAATTGCCCCTCCTCCTTAAGTATCCATATGAGAAAACACACTGGAGAGAAACCCTATGAATGTCTGGAATGTGGAAAAGCCTTCTATCTTCCTACTTCCCTTAATACACATGTGAAAAATCAAAGTAGAGAGAAACCCTATGAATGTAAAGAATGTGGGAAGGCCTTTAGTTGTCCCTCATCCTTCAGAGCACATGTGAGAGATCACACTGGAAAGATACAATATGAATGTAAGGAGTGTGGGAAGGCCTTTAGTCGTTCCTCATCCCTTACTGAACACTTAAGAACTCATAGTGGAGAGAAGCCCTATGAATGTAAGGAATGTGGAAAAGCCTTTATTAGTTCCTCCCACCTTACAGTACATATAAGAACTCACACTGGAGAGAAA